CTCTCTCTCTCTCTCTCTCTCTCTCTCTCTCTCTCTCTCTCTCCCTCCCTGGGCCCGGCGATGGCTTCGCTGTGACGGCACACCATCCGATACGGCCCGACCTGTCGACGTTGTTTGCCATGGCAGGACGACTCCAAGCACGGCGGAATGACCATGCCGTGAGTGTACAAAAATGCAACAGAACAAGGTTGCCCAGCGACTGCTGCTTCAGATACCGCACATGCTTTCGTATGCATTCAGTGTATTCACGGATTCATACTGCATGGGAGGCAGCCGCGGAGCATAGCCACCGCGGTGTAGAACAGCGTTGTGTTAGCCACCCGCGCAATGATGCATGGAGGTGTGCATACGTGTGAGCCTTCGCTCCTTCTCTGGATCGATAGCCCACCTATATGCCGAGGGACTGACAGAAGGAGTGTTAGTATTCGACCACCCACCTCCGTATTTTGGATTTAGGAAGGTAGACCATGAAGACGACAAATAAATGAATGCCGCTCCGAATGCGAAGACCGACTTACTGTTGTTGCGGAATGTCCGTTGTACAAGGAGAGGGAAGTGTACATGAATGAGCTGGGAAAAGAAGGAAGATACAGCAGTGAGATATTTGAAGCGTGGATTAGGCGAGAGGAGACGGTAGCTGCGCTGGGGCATAGGAAGCGAGTTGAAAGGGGGGGAAGTGATATCGATAGGATAGATGTCTACAGAAATTCATTTTTCGATTGGTCATTGATGATCGGTCCTGTGGGAATAACGCTTCGTCCTCTCGAGAATGCGTGGTCAATGGTCTAACCGCTAAGGCATGCTAAACATATGAGCACCCCCCACCCCCTGTTTTCATTTTGACACAGCTCCGGCGGCGACAGCCTGTCAAACAGCAGAGTGGTGAAGGCCTTCCCCCCCGGAGCGGCCGGCACGGACGTCGAAGGTGCTTCCATCCAAGAGCACAAGATTGGGAGGTAACCCCGGGTAGAGCTCGACTACGGGGAGCTGGAGAGCGGGTCTGAGGTCGTAGCTGAAACGACACCGGGTAACCAGGATTGGGTGTACTCGGCGTTGCGCTCAATCCCCATTACGCCACCACTACAAGATGGGTGCGTGCGCTGTGTTGCTCTGGCAACATAGCCTGTGCGGCGTGTTCAATATTGTTAGCCCACAAGGAATTTAGTATTGCAAGGCAGAAGCATGATTTGTTCGTACACCCTCGTTTTTTTCCCTGCATGCACGTAGTCTATGCTTTGGGGGGCCGTTGGCGATTGGGCAAGCAAAACTTCTACTTTATTAGTATAAGGCAAGGCGATGTCGCTTGCTCTAACTGCTGTAGCTATCGAATACCACAGCAGAACGGCTCCGGTTTGTCACGACAATCCGGGTCTCACCCAACCCTCCTGGTTCACATTCCTCTGTAGTATATTGCTTAATTCCTCATGTTAGACGAGGGCAGGTGCAATCGGACCCCAAGGCTAGGTTGTTGCGGGACGATCAAATATTTTTGCCCGTGTCTAGCTGACGGGGCATGTGTGAAGAGTACATGAAGAACGCAAGGGCACTCCCCGCGTTGTTGTCACACTCGCAAAGTCAAAACCATGCGATAGGATAGACTTCCTGAGTGGTAGAGGCCGTTGCACCCTGATGACGGCATATAAAGTTGTATTTGCTTGTTTCGGCGTGTCTGAAGAGGGACTGTGGGGGTCGGAGGAAAAGAAGGAGGAAGGAGGAGTGTTGGAGGTTGGTTGGCGGCCATGCGGTACTCATAGCGACACGATGCAGAGCTGTTTGGGTTACAAGGGGTTTGAGGGAGCGGGAGGTACCATCTACCCTTCCTTCTAGTTGTTGTCTCCTCGCGAGTGGGAAGCCAAGGTTTTTCTTCCACACGTAGTGCGTGGGGCCGTTATCACTCGCTTGGAGTACACGAGTAGTAGCCCAGCGGCGATGTAGCTGCGATCGACATGTAGCTTGTCGTGTAGCGGGCGGTCGTAAAATCGTAAAAGCAGCATATGAATGCGTATGCAGCAGCAATACCGTTGTTTCATGTATTTGGCTGACGTGCTTCCGAGATAAGACGCGCATCGCGCCAGATTGCCATGCCAAGAAACCGTCTTTCATCGTCGTATCATATGAGTGGATGAGCTATGCTGTAGCTTACTCACCAGCGCGATGACGCAGGTGCAAACGTGCGTGAGGAAGAATACGACGAGGAGAGCAGTTTGTTGGGGACGTAAGCGCCATAAGATTTTTATGCAGAACCGCCACACGCAGACTTTCCCTCGAAGTATTGGGTTCCTTCCTTGGGGTTTTTGTCAGCCTTTTCCCTCCCCGCGGAATGACCCTCCCGATGTAACGAGGTACACATCTTGCAGTCTAGGTTAGTAACTTCGCGCGACCGAGGTATAGTCTATCCATAGATGTACGAAAAACCACACCGTTCATCCGTGACTGGGGACCGAGTGCACCATTTTCACACCTCCGTACAGAAGTCGCCAGCAAAAATCCCTCTTGCTTGATGCAAGGTGTAGAGGAACACGCCGTCGCGGGGGTGCCTCCGTGCACACCAAGAATAATGGCAGCTGGCAATGAGCCTTTGACCTGTTGGGTTTTCTCTATCAAGGAGGCTTATTACCTAGCCGGCACGATCAGCAATCTACGCCGACCGACCTACTTCATTTTCAATTATAGAGGTCGGCAGCTCCGGTCAAAAATGAGTGTAAAGCCAAGCTCTTCTTGGTTGGTTGCCTGCATTCAATTCATAGACAGTGCCCTTTCTCCGCAGCCACGTGAGGCACGATGATCCGTTCAGATGCAACAGCCACATCGAAAGTAGGATCACTACGTGTATATGTGGTGCTGCATCGAAAGCAAAAAGCACATGCATGACACCAGTGGAACATGCGCATTGCGCTGGGGGGTCAATAGATGGGAATTTTGGTGGGGGACCATAAAGAACGCCTGTCAATGTTTTGCAACTCTTGTGAGAGCAGGCACTGCAAGAAGACTTCTGCCCCCCTCCCCCCTTACGGCTCCCTCTGTGCATGCGGCATGACTCCCTTTTAAGGGGTCACCGCTTCTGTCACACGTTGATGCCCCGGCACTCCCCGCACCTTCTGGTTGCACCATGAAGAGACCATCAGGTATACCGGACGATCTCTTTGCCACCCTCCAAGGCGGAGCTTCTGCCGGAGAACCCCGACCGGGGGCGGCAGGGACCACTGGGCGCGGCAGGTAACGTATGTATCCAGCCCTGGGCACATGCAATGAAGACAACAACAAGGGTTTGCTGCTTGATTCGCTGGTATTACTCTGGAGCAATCGTTTCTTCTGATGCTCTCAATTATAGATAGCTGATGTACAAGAGAGATGATGTGGCGGCTGAACCAAGTTTTGAATTCCAAACCTCGTCGCTGCTGTGTGTGCGATGATACTGCTGAACCCGTTTGACCCGTTTGAATTTGGTTTACGCATGCAGGTGTGCTTGCACACGGGGTTCAAATATCGATCAAGTTGCAGGCCCACGGGCAGTAGATGTTAGATACGAATACTGCAGTATTCGATGCCCGCTGGCTTGCGACTCCAACGGTTCAGTTTTGCGCGAGGTAGGCTGTTCAAAACTGGAAACGGCTGCGAGGTGGCGCTGGACGTTGTGTTAGATTAGGAACACTTTTTTTTGTCCGCTGTGTACATGTACTCTTGTCGTCGCCCAGCTGCATAAGAAAGGCCTCGAGCACATGACACTTCCTCCTTTCCTCTTAACGTAGCGTCAGCATGTGATAATGGGATGACGCGTTTCCTTGTTTCATGACAAAGCAGCAGGTTTATCGTGAGGGAACCCCCCGCCCCTTGCCGCCCCCCGCGTTCTGCGTCCGCGCATGCCCCACTCCCTAGAGCGCTCCAGCGATCATCGGGCAGCTACAGCTCCGACGGAGAGTCCAGCTCCTCGGCCTCCTCCGCCTCTTCGCCCTTGCCGACCGCGGCGAGGCGGACCGAAGATGGAGCCAGCCCGGCTGCTGCCGCTGGTGCTACTGCTGCGGCTGCTTCCCCTGCTGCCGCCGCCGCCGCCGCCGCCGTGACACCGAGATCTTTCCTTCGAACCCCCTACGATCATTCCTCGCGGGCGCTCGGCCGCTCCCCGTCGGCCTCCTCCTCGGCGGGCAAAACGGGGGGGAGCGACGCGTCGTGGTCCTCTTCTAGGGGGGGTGGCTCCGCGGTGTTGTCGGCCTCCGCCACCGAGTCGGTGCGGAGACGAGGCTCCCTTGGCGGTGGAAGCAGGGGGTCGGGGAGCAGGCTCTCGGTCGGGAGTGGATTTTCCGTCGGCAGCAGCTCGCCGGGCGCTCTGAACGGATCGGTGAGAGAGGGTACCGTGTGTTGTCCTTATTGCCCTCCTGGGGTGGGTGTTGGTTGCAACCAATGTGTGTGCTGTTTCCTTCTTGCGCATCTGGGCGCGGGGATCAATCGGATGTGCATATGAGTTTTTGGAAACTTGCATCGACTGCGCTACATAGCGGGATGACAAACACGGACGCGTTTCTTTGTCAGAGTGCGTGTGTGAGAGTGAGACGGGTACAGCCGTGGTCGTGCGTTGCTTGGCTCGAACCATGTCGGAGGTGAGGCGGAGCGAAGGACATCTCAACCTTTATTTTACCCCGTCTAACACGTGATCCTTTTCTGCCTAAAATTTGCCACACTCGGTACAAGGGCATCCCCCCCCCCGCGCGCGCGCGCCTCTGCCCGTGGTCAGCTGATGCTTTATACCGCGATGGGCCCATGTGACCGTTCGAAGGCGAGAGAGATAGCAGCAGGCACGATCTAGACCACCCTTCCCTTTGCGTGCCCCCCCTTGCCCCGAACGTCCGTCGGTCCAGTCCCACATCGCTCTCAAAGCAGCCGCGGAGGGGGACGCAGCGGCCGTCCTGGCTTTTCTCGACGCGGGCGGGGACGTCAACACCAAGAGCAAGAACGGAGCGAGGTGTGGGGACGCTTTAGGCGTCGGAAACAGAATCGGTCGAATAGCACACGTGCTGCCGTTGTGCTGTGCTGTTCATCACTCGAGAGGGTCGATCGCAACGGAAAAGCAGTCCTTCCTGTCTTGCTGATGCCGTGTTGGAAACCTCTGCGGTAACAACGGTGCTGATGACCTCTGACCGGCCGATCAGGCGTCCACCTCTTGCTGCACCATGTCTGCCGGCCACCGCTGTCCTGCGGTGTTAACTGCTGCTCGCGGGCAACACGGACGGATTTAATGTTTTGGTCGTTCGATCGTTCCCAGGTTTTTCGTGCGTTCGGCACCTCACAAGCGTATTTGTATGACCGCTAAGGTACGCCCCTACACGTTTTTTCGTGCGCGTGATTCGTGCTACTTGCCGTTTGCGGCTGTCTGCATAGCACCCCGCTGACCCGAGCGGCTGCCAAGGGACACCTCGGCGTCGTCAAGCTGCTGCTGGAGCGGGGAGCGGCGGTAAACATCCCCGGGAGGGGTGGTCTCACCGCTCTGCATGAAGCGGCTGGGTGCGGTCAGGTGTGCCATTGTTATCGTCTATGTTGTCGTCTTGGGGGTTTAGGCATGCTGCTCGCTCGGAGGTCAACCAGGCGCGTGTGTTGTTGTCGTGTGGCACATGCGTCATGCGTACGGTGCATGATTCGGTGTACCCTTCTCTCTGCTCTCTGTCTCTCTCTCATTCCTCTCTCTCGTTCTTCTCTCTTTCTCTCTCCCTCTCTATCCTTCTCTATTCCTCTCTTTCTCTATCTCTCATTACCTCTCTCCCGTTACTTATCTCTCTCTCTGCCTCTCTCCATGTTTGTCTCGCTGTCTGGTTGCCTCTCTCATTCCTCTCTCTCTCGTACTTCTTTCTCTTTCTCTCTCCCTCTCTATCCCTCTCTTTATCTCTCATTACCTCTCTCCCATTACTTATCTCTCTCTCTCTCTCTCCCTCTCTCCATGTTTGTCTCGCTGTCTGATTGCCTATTGGTGTTGGCGTCAACAACCCCGCATCATCGTGTATTGGTACTGTACCAATTACCGGTACTTGCCGCTACCGGGGAAAAACACACCTCCAAAAGCTGGCGGTCTGTCAAGTGTTGCTGGGGGCCGGAGCCGCGGTAGCCGCTCGCGATCACTCGCACCGCTGCCCTCTCCACTACGCCGGCGGCTATGTTGGGATAACCAAGCTCCTACTGGATTTCGGGGCTGATCCAGAAGCAAAGGTAAGGGACAGGAGATACGAACCGTAGCAGACTTCTGTAGGTTGAACACTGTTGGAAGGAAACGTTGGGGAACCCCCGCCCTGTGGCTTGAGAGGGGGCGGGTGGGAGGTGAGGCTAGTGCTTCCGCTCGAGTATCATGTCAGCGTTGTGTGTGCGTGTGTATGTCATAATTACTGCTGGTACATGGGACCTTCCAAAGTTTTGGGTCCGGTGCGAAGCACTATCTAACTAAGCACACCACTGACAAACCCCTAACCCCCCCCCCCCCCCCCC